TTTTTCCCTTTAGTGATTATGTTTCAGTAATGTGTATCACTGATTGCATTTGAGCAATGAAAAATGTGTATGTTACTCGCAAAGCGAGTTATAGGAGATGTCAATGGATGTGCTGTAAAACACTACTTTGATAATTAAGTTTTGTTAAGGATCCGAGTGTATTGGACGACATAGTTGTACCATTTGGATCAGATAATGTATCTTATTTTATATATCACAATTTTCATTTTTTATATTTTCTTTTATCATTTATTTTGTTTATATTGGTACTTAAATAAATGGAATTGATATAGTTTTTAAATTTTTTAGATGATATCGTATTATGTATCAACTATTGACTATTCAAAGTTTTCGTTCGATTTCATATTTTTATTTTTTATATTACCCCATGCATCGCATTAACATTCTCTTTTCATTCATAAATGTGTTTGATTTACCTCATTGGCGTCTTTTAGTCATTAAAAATTTGTACTTAAAATTGACCTCGTGCATCGCACGGGTGAGTTACTAGTTGATATAATTTTCAAATATCATCAATGATTAAATATTAACATATTGATAATTTAAAAAATGTTATATCCCTACACATACTAAGGTGATAAGATAAAATAATTTTGAATTAAGAAGATTCTATTATTGGAACACATAAGTGAGGATCTAAGAACTTTTTTCCTTTTCCTTTGGAAGGAGGAATCTAAATATTTCATTGACTTGATATTTGACTAGTGAATAAGCGTCGATGGCCTTAAAAAAATCCAATCATAGAGTCGAGCTCAAATGAATTTTTAACGAACGATCTCAAAATTGAGCATCGAAAAGTTTGATTTAATTTTCAATTTTAATTGTCAACATATTCCTTTTGATTCAGTTTTTTTTCCTATACATTTAAAAATGTAGTCACATTTCAACTCGTGTGCAAGAATTCCTCTCATATTGTGTTTTATTTAGATTTGAGATTATTAATACATTTCAAGTGTAAATTAATTGTATCATTTTATATTTTTGCCTCTATTATTGAATATAAAATGACAATTATGGCGTTGTTTTCTTCCAATAAAATAATTTATTTAGTGATTAAAAAAAAAACGAAAATATTAAAAATATATTATATATTTCAAAACCTTTACCCTTAAAAATCTAAAAAACGGGTCGGGTTATCGGGTCAATCTGATATATAAACAATATAATTTTCATTAGCTCCTCATTTTTCTGATTCTGGTCCGGCTGTTCTTGTCTGGCGGTAACCCCGAAAACAATAGCTTAAACGACAGCGTTTCGTACCGAATACCGATTGCGCCCCCTCGCCCCCTCTCTCAGATCGCCGCCTCTCTCGTTCTCTCTGTATTCGATGTGAGCTTCTTTCCCCATTATTGAATGCAATATGTAGATTCCGTATGTTTATTGAACGTTTGGATCATAGGGCATTCGAGGAGGATTTTTCTAGGGTTTTTTTCCCCTTTATTGATTTGTTTAAAGTCAAGCGTAGTTGATTCTATGTTCTACCGTTTGATTAAGCTTTAATCAATGCCGTAACTGATTATAAACATGATGAAATTGCGTGTAATGTGTTCATTTGTGACTGGGCCATGTGAATAGTTGAGTAATCTGTGATTTGTTGTTTGCGTTTTGCTTATTGACAATGGTTAGCTTTACTTGTTCCGTTTTTTTTAAAGTTGTTTTGTTTCTTTTATGGTGGGAGTTAATTGTTACTTGTAGACCTTTTTTTGAAGAAGTTGAAATAGCATAGTTTTTCTCAGTGGAGTAGGTGGATGAATGTGGGATATTTGTCTGTTGATGCATGTTGGATGTAAGACCTTTTTTCTGTTGAGTTATAGTATTTTTGGGTTTTCATTCGAGTAGTTTAAATTCTATAATTTTTGATTGA